CGCAGGCTACCTTCCTTGTCTAGATAAGGAGACAGAGGCCCAGAGAGAATGAAAGACATACAGAAGAGCCTCCCTGCAGGGCCATCTCTGGACCCCAAGGTCAGGATTTCTTCTACTACTCCTTTCAAATCTCTGGAACCCTTCAAGCAACCCTGAGTCTCCCCTCCAAGTAGAAGTAAGAGGTCTCTGTAGGTAACTTTTTACAAAGAAATAGACAAGGATAGGAGGATAATCCCAGAGTCTCTGTCACTAAAAAGTGACACATACTGGAGGAGGGAGATGGGGGAGTACACACAGCTGGGAGCTGGGGAAGAACGGTGAAGGTGATTCACAGGGGGACGTGGGGCTCGAACAGAAACCACTCAGGTGCATACTGACAGGTATATTCAATTTCTTTTACACAGTAACTATTACAAGGGGCAGCTAGATGGCACAGTGAATAGAGCTCTGGCCTTGGAGTCAGGAGGACCTGAGTTCAAATCTAGCCTCAAACACTTAACACTTCCTAGCTGTGTGACCCTGGGCAAGTCACTCAACCCCATTGCCTCAGCAAAAAAACCAAAAACAAAACCAAACACAGTAACTATTACAAAGGGCAAGAATTCTAATAATTAACATTTCTATCATGCTTTATGGTTTGCAAAGCACTCCACATATATTATCTTATATACTCAAGAAACCAAGTCCAGAGGAGTAGACTCAGTACCTTCCAAATTCATTTCTATACACACACACACACACACACACACACACACACAGAGGCATGTCTTGGAAGACAGACTCTAGCTGCTCAGTCCCCAGACTTTTCCTTTGCTTCCTTCACAAAGACAATCCACTGTGGGGGGACGACAAAGAGGGCAATTCCAGAAAAGAGAATGAGGTTGCTCTCTATTAAAGCACTAGTAGCTGTCCTTTTCAAGCAAAATCTCCAGTCATTAAGTAAATCATTTTTTGGAACTATTCAACTATAATTTAGATTCAAAACAAATGACTAAAAAGTCTCTAGAAATTTACTTTCTTTTCAATAGAAGCTTTTTTCCCCACAAATATTTTACCTTTAAAAATACCCACAGCCTCTACTGGTTGCATCCATACAAACACCCACATATCAGTTGCCTAAGTGCTCCATAATTGGTAGATGCCTTGCCTAACTGAGAAATGCCTGCTGACTTTCTGTTTTCAGTCCTTTCAAATTAGCACATACACACATACATACATACATACACACACATGGGAGGCAGAGAGGTGGCGCAGTAGATAGAATGCTAGGCTTAGAGTCAGGAAGACCCGAATTCAAATTTGATCCCAGACAGACACTTACTAGCTCTGTGACCCTGGGCAAGTCACTTAACCCCGTTTGCCTCAGTTTCCTCATCTGTCAAATGAGATGGAGAAGGAAACGGCAAACCTCTCCAGCACCGTTGCCAAGAAAACCCCCAATGGGGTCATGAAGAGTTGGTTATGACTGAAAAAACGACTGAACAACACACACATAAGAGCTTCTTCCAGTCCCCACAAAGAAGCCCTCTAACCACCCCACAGAATAATGAGAGCGAACATTTCTATCGGGCTTCAAGAAATGGAAGAAAACGGAGAGATGATCCAGTGGAATCCCTTCACCTTACAGACGAGGAAGTGAGCCCAGAAGGGTTCAGGTACTTGCTGAAAGTCACAGCAACAGTAAGCAGCAATGCTAGGATTCAAACCCGGGTCTCTGTACCTTTTCCAGCACGATTTTTCCACTTCACCATATAATATTACATTTGTAGTCCACTAAAACCCCTGGATTTTTTTCAAACTGCTCTCTATCCAATCGTCCCTAGCATGGTACGTGAGAAATGCATTTTTTAAATCCAACTGTAAAAGTTTACATTTATGGCAAGAGAAGTTCAGCTCGTTCTAGCCTGTCTCTAGTTCTGGATCCTGTCAGTCATCAAGGGTGCTGGCTGTCCCCCCACCCACACCCGCCCCTGCTGACATCCATCTCTAAATCCGATCTAGATGCCATCGACAGCTCGATCCAAGTAATCAGCAAACCTAGTAAGTCCCAGGGGCCAAGCGCAGTTCTCAGGGCCTGCCTTCCAAGCTGCCATCACTACCACTCACAGCTCCCTTTTGAGGCTGGCCATTTAAGCACCTCTGATTCCAGCAAGTTTACCATCAACCAGCGAAGGAGTTAGAATAGGCAAAGAAGCAGCAAAGCTAGCACTCTTTGCAGATGACATGATGGGATACTTAGAGAATCAACTAAAAAACTATTTGAAATAACAAACACCTTTGGCAAAGTTAAGGATATAAAATAAACCCACATAAATCACCGGCATTTCTATATATTACCAACAAAGTCCAACAGCAAGAGGTAGAAAGACAAATTTCATTTAAAGTAACTACAGGCAATATCAAATATTTGGGAGCCTACCTGACAAGACAAACCCAGGAACCATATGAACACAATTACAAAACACTTGTCACACAAATAAAGTCAGATCTAAATAATCGGAAAAATATCAGTTGCTCATGGGTAGGCTGAGCTAATAAAAATGACGATTCTACCTAAGTTAATTTACTTATTCACTGCCATACCAATCAAACTAGCCAAAAAATATTTTATAGAGCTAGAAAAAATAATAACAAAATTCATCTGGAAAAACAAAAGGTACAGAATACCAAGAGAATTAATGAAAAGAATACAAGGGAAGGTGGCCTAGCCATACCAGATCTAAAATCATACTATGAAGCAGCAATCATCAAAACTGTTTGGTACTGGCTAAGAAATAGAGTGGTGGATCAGTGGAGTAGGTTAGGACACAAGACACAGTAGTCAGTGACTATAGGAATCTATTATTTGATAAACCAAAGACCCCCCAGCTTCTGGGATGAGAACCCACTCTTTGACAAAAAGTGCTGGGAAAACTGGAAAAGAGTATGGCAGAAACTAGGCATAGGCCCAAATCTCACACCATATACCAAAATAAAGTCAAAATGGGTACATGATTTAGATATAAAGGCTGATACTATAGGCAAACTGGGAGAGCAAGGAATAGTTTACCTGTCAGATTTATGGAGAACAGAAGAATTTATGACCAAACAAGAGAGAGCATTATGAAATGCAAAATGGATAATTTTGATTACCTTGAATTGAAAAGTTTTTGCACAAACAAAGCCAATGCAAACAAGATTAGGAGGGAAGCAGAACACTGGGAAAGAATTTTTACAACCAGTGTCTCTGATAAGGGCCTCTTTTCTAAAATTATAGATTTTACTAAGTCAACTAAGTCAAACTTTGAACTAAGTCAAATTCATAAGAATACAAGTCATTCCCCAATTGATAAATGGTCAACGGATATGAACAGGGAGTTTTCAGAAGAAGAAATGAAAGCTACCTATAGTCATATGAAAAAATGCTCTAAATCGTTATTGATTAGAGAAATGCAAATCAAAACAACTCTGAGGTATCACATCACATCTATCAGATTGGCTAACATGACAAAACAGGAAAATGATAAATGTTGGAGAGGACGTGGGAAAATTGGAACACTAATACATTGTTGGTGGAGTTGTGAAATGATCCAACCATTTTGGAGAGCAATTTGGAACTATGCCCAAAGGGCTAAAAAAAACTGTGCATACCCTTTGACCCAGCAATAGCACTTCTAGGGCTGTATCTATCCCAAAGAGATCATACAAATGGGAAAAGGACCCACATGTACAAAAACATTTATAGTAGCTCTTTTTGCAGTGGCAAAGAATTGGAAATTAAGGGGATGCCCATCAATTAGGTAACGGCTAAACAAATTGTGATATATGAATGTAATGGAATACTACTGTGCTATAAGAAACGGTGAACAGGCTGACTTCAGAAAAACCTGGAAAGACTTGTATGGTCTGACGCTGGGTGAAGTGAGCAGAACCAGGAGAATGTACACAGTAACAGCCACGTTGGGTGATGACTGACTTTGATAGACCTAGCTCTTCTCAGCAACGCGAGGATGTAAGACATCTCCAAAAGACTCATGCTGGAAAATGCTGTCCACGTCCAGAGAAAGGACTATGGAGCCCGAATGCAGATCGAAGCAGACTATTTTCTCTTTTTTTGTTGTTTCTTCTTTCTCATGATTTTCCCCTTTGGTTCTAATTCTTCATGACAACATGACTAATGTGGAAACATGTTTAATAGGAATGTATATGTATAGCCTGTATCAGACTGCAGATGTCTTGGGAAGGGGGCAGGAGAGGGAGAGAAAATTTAGAACTCAAAATCTTACAGAAGTGAATGTTGAAAACTAAACATTAATTAATTGGTTGACTTCAAAATGGAATAAAGTATGCTGTCAACCAAACAATCAACGAAGACTGATTAGTGCCAGCCCCACCAATTAACATTTTGCCGAAGCATCCTCTGTTTAAAAGCACACGTGCAACAAAACTGTTGTTGTCGTTCAGTTGTTTCAGTCGTGTCTGACTCTCCGTGACCCCATTTGGGGTCTTCTTGGCAAAGACACTGGCGTGGTTGGCCACCTCCTTCTCCAGCTCATTTTACAGATGAGGAAACTGAGGCAAGCAAGATGAAGTGACTTGCCCGGGGTCACACAGCTGCTAAGTGTATGAGGCCCCATTGGAACTCTGCACTATGGAGCCCCCTAGCTGCCCCTCACCTGCTTCCCAGCATTCCCATTGCCAACCAAGTGCCTTTTTGCCAGGCTATCAAAACAGCAACAGGGGCAGCTAGGTGGAACAGTGGATAAAGCGCTGGCCCTGGAGTCAGGAGGACCTGAGTCCAAATCCGGCCTCTCATACATAACACTAGCTGTGTGAGTCCAACCGAGTCACTTAACCCCAATTGCCGTACCAAAGAAAAAAAAAACCTTTAAAAGGAAACAATTTATCCTGTTTTGTTTCCCCAGGGTGTAAAAGTGTAAGTGTATCTTCTGAAGGCTTCTCCCTAGCTACCAAGTACATGCAGGAGCCCACTGGATACTAACAAATGACACCATACTGACCTCGGACCATTTTGAGCCAGTCCACATTCCCAAGCTTTAGTTCACAAGGATCTGTGCTGACTCTTCCAGGGATAATGCGTTCAAAGAATGCTAAGTCCTCTTCTGACACCTCGGCAAAAGGCAGCCTCCGCACAGGATACCGGTCACAGGTCAGCATCACCTCCTGGGCATCAGACGGGGTCACACAGAAATCTCGCTGGTGGAAGACTCCAACAAACCTGCCATTCCCCAAAGCTGCAGGCTCTGGAGGGTTTCTTCACCACCAAAAGGGTGGGGGGCCCAGTCATTCCCACCAGTGTTCTCTTGTGGCCATTTACCCACCATCTCATAAAGACCCCCAGACGCCAAACAGGATGCCGTGGGAAAAGGCAAGGGATGGCCATGGTTGCTCTGCAATATAAGGGAAGAGAATCAGCTCCTTGTTAAAAAGCCCCTAGTCAGCACACATACCCTTACAGAAAACAAAAAACCAAGGCTGAAGCCACTAAAAGTAGACCTTCTAAAGTAGTCTGTGAAAATTTGTAGATTTATCAAGAGCGCTACCTCCAAAAATACCTCATTGGATTGTAGAATGGTAGGTGCCAATGTGACCTTCCTAACTTGCCAGCCTGATCATGCCACACCTACTCAGAAACCTCCAGTTGCTCCCTCCTACCTCCAGGATTAAACACAAAATTCCCTCTTTGCCTTTTAAAGCCCTTCACAAACTGGCCCCTTCCTACCTTTCTGGCCTCCTTAAACTTCATTCTCCTCTACTACTTGACGATCCAGTGACATTTCTTGGCTGTTCTTCACAGAAGACAGTCCCAGCTCTGGACAGGACACCCACAACTCCCTGCCTTTTCCTCAAGAGCTCTCCCAGGCACCTACAATCTTCTCCCTCCTTAACTCTGCCTCCTGGCTTCCAAGCACTCAGTTCAACTCCTTCCTTGATGAAGTCTTTCCTGCCACCACCCACTCACACTAATGTCCGTCTGAGACTGCCTTCCATCTGCTTGGTATAGACCTTGAATGTCCATAGTTGTTTGTTTGTTGTTTCCACCCTTCGGGTGAGCTCCTTGGGAGCCCAGATCTTATTTTTGCCTTTCTTTGCACCACGGTGTCTGGAGTACATAGGTACTTAATAAGTGATTGATTGTTGACTGACCTAAAAAAGTGGTGAAGCTCAAATGAAAGAATGCATGGGCAATGCTTGGGAAACCTCGAAATGCTACAGAAACATTGGAGGTGGTTGTCATCATCATCATTATTATTATCTTCACCATCTCACAGTAATTAGGCACTGGGGAAGGTGGAATAAAACACCCCACCATAAACATCACAGATCTATAGCAGGAAGCTCAGACAGATCTAATTCAACCACCTTATCTCATACAGGAGGAAAATGTGGCAACTGAGTCATCCAAGGTCACACAGGTAATGTCAGAGGTGGAATTTGTTGGAGGGTTTTCATTTTAAAAAAAAGTTCAATCCACGAACATTTGCCTTCTCTTCATCCCCTCATTGAGAGAAATAAAGAAAAAATCCCAGCAACAAACGTATACTAAAGAAAAACAAATTCCTTCCTTGGCCATGTCCCCCAAAAGGTCTCATTCTGTCCAGTACTTTCTCTCTCCTCTCTGTTGGGAGGTTAGGGTTATAGGTTGGTCCTTGTGAAAAGTCCTTCCAAGATCTGTCTTTACAATAATGTTATTAATGTACAAACTGTTCTGCTCACTTCACTCTATGTCAGCTCATTCAAGTCTTTCCAGGTTTCTCTGCGAATTTGTTAAGATTTCTTACAATTCTTTCTTCATTATTCCATTCCTTACAGCACAATAGCATTCCATCACATTCATACACCACGACTTGTTCAGCCATTCCCCAATCAATGGGTACTCACTCAGTTTCCAATGACTTGTTCAGCCATTCCCCAATCAATGGGTACTCGCTCAGTTTCCAATTCTTTGTCACCACAAAAAGAGCTGCTATAAATATTTTCTTTTATCTCTTCGGGGCACAGACCTAACAATGGAATCGCTGGCCCAGAGGGTAGGCACAGTACAAGTCGGGGGCCTGGTTCTGCTTTGGTGGGGCCAGCTCACAGAACCCCCCCAAAACTGTGTCTATCAGTCTGCCTGTTTTCCCGAAGCTCCTCCAACATTTGTCGTTCTCCTTTTTTGTCAACTTTGCCAAATTGAGGTGAGAGTGTTTTTAATTTGCATTTCTCTAAATATCAGTGATTTGGTACTTTTTTTAATTTTGCTATTAACAGCTTGGAATTCTTCCTCTGGAAAGTGCCTGTTCCTATCCTTGGACCCCACAGCAACTGGGGAAACAGAGATGCCATTTGAACCCAGAGCCCAAGGCAGAGGTAAATCAAAGCATCGGTCCTCCGGCTCTGGGATGGGGCGGGGGGCGGGGGGTGGTGTTGGGGGCGGGGAATAGTGTAGCCACACAGTTGCCCCACCCCCTAAGCAGAAGAGCAGGAAGGGAGCTGGGAGAGGACACGCAGGGCGCGGCTCGGGCCCCCCCAAGGCGCCAGCAGCCCAGACAGTCCGGGTTGCAGGGACGGGCGAGGGGACCCTCTCCCGCCGTGTGTGCACAGTCCCCCGGCCAAGGCCTTTACCTGGGCCCAAGACGCGGGTCCGCCGGCACGCCAGGGTTCCGGACGCGGGGGTAAGCTGGAGCCTCCGAGGGAGGCGGGCCGGGGCCTGCGCAGTTCTCACTCTTCCCTCCACCCGCCCCTAGCTAGCCCCGCCCCGCCCGGTCAGAGCGGATTCTGGCCCTGCCCCCTCACCTGGCCTTCCTCCAGGCTCTGCCCATTGCCTAGGCCCCACCCGCCCAGGTCCTGGGTCCGGGGACGAAAGCCCTCATATAGCTGCGTGTTTGCTTTGTGCCTTTGGGGGGCATCCCTAGATAGGGGAGTGGGGGTCCCCCCCTTAGGCTGTCTGCTTCAGGAGGGCAGAGACAGCTTCCCCAGGGTCGCGCTTGCCCCAGGGTCTAGCCCCCAGGAGACACTTAAGCAATGCTTGTGGACCGAGTAACTGACTAACTAGAGGGCAACCAGCTCCCCGCCCACTTAGTTATCCTCACCACTTCCAGCTCGGCTCTCTCAGCTCCTCCCCTTAGGCCACGCCCCCAACCACCCCTGCCCTCCTCAGCCCAGGCCCAGCCTGAACCCTAAAGAGCCTGCCTGTCCTGGGAGCGCATAGCAAGCAAGGGGGTCTGCCCCCTTACCTCAGCCGCCTCCCCCAACAAAGTCGCCCACCCAACCTCGCCTCCCATCCTCCTGTCTCAGCTCCAGCCACGCCCCCTCAGAGACCAGCCCCCTAGATCGCCCCTCCCTCCCTTATTAAATTCCAGCCCTGCACCCCTAGATGCTTGCCCACTCAGCCCAGCCCCTCATCCACCGCTCAGCCACAAGCCCACCCCCTATTCCAGCCCCCTACATCCTCCCTCCCCAGCTCCCACAGTTTCGGCCCCTCCCCCCAGGTACTCGTCTTCCTCCATCCCCAGACTCGCCCCCTTAGCCGGGTCCGAGCGGGCTTCGTGGGCTTGGGGGCGAGCAGGCGCTGCGGCTTTCTTGAAGGTAGAGGGGTCCCCAGAACACGCTCACTGATGTTGACCCTCAGGAAGCAGGCGGGCCCCCCAGTGGAGAAGCCCACCGCGCACCCACGTGCCGAGCTGGATGCGGGAGGAGGGGTACTGCAGAGTCCAGGGCCTGGAGGGAGCCCCCCACACATACCCACCCGGCCCGGCCCTTTGCGCTGGGATGCAGTTGGGTCTGCCTGGTACAAGTCCCTCCCCGCTTCATCCTCCACTCAGACGCCAATGCTCAGGTATGACCAGGTCACTGGACAAACTCGGGCGCCTGCGGAGTCTCGTCACCTCCAGGATCTTTCCCACCGAGCCTTTCATATCTTTCCAGCCTTCCTGCGCCTAACTTCCCGTCCTTTCCTTTCCATGTATTCTACTCCAGGCCCCCTACGCTCCATTCCCAGCCTCCAGGCATTTCCCCTGGCTGTGCCCCACACCAGGAATGCTCTCCCTCACCTCAGCCCCCAGGGCTCTCCATCCACCTTCAAGACTCCGCTGTGATGGCACGTTGTGCCAGAAGCCTTTGCCGTTCCCGTAGTCTTCCCCACCAGAATGCGAATTCCAGTAGGGCTTGGCTTGGTTCTGACTCTCCTCGTGTCCCCAGCACTTAGCCCATTGCCTAGCAGAGAAGCGCACCCACCGCCCAAGTTTCTTGACTGGACATAGAGGCTCTGTGACCTCGGGTAAGTCATGTCCACCGGTAAAACTGGGCTAGCTGACGTCATCTCCCTTCCACCTCCAAGTTTAGGATAAGTACAGTAACACTGGACCCAGTGGATTTAAAAAACAAATTCAAACAGCAGAACATTGCTTGGTCTGATCACACCTATGGCTTTTGTAGGCATCCTGTAAAAAATGGGTCCTCCCAAACCCTCAACTTCCTCCACTCAGGAAATCAGAGAGCTCCCTCACCAGTGAGGCTGGACCTCTAACCTACACTCTCCAAGGCTTTAACTAATCTACCAAGAAGCAGGAGCTACCTCAAATACTGCTAAGTGAAGCATGGGCCAAAAGCTTCCAGGCAGGCTAGGCTAAGCAAGGGGCCAAGGTTCTGGGGTACTATGACCTCCCTCACTTGTGTGGGGCTTTCCCAACTCCTTTCCTTTCCTTACAGCTGAAGCTATAAGAAAGGTTGGTTTGAATGGGCAATAACAGAGATGCCAAACACTGCCCCATCACTGTCCTGGCATGGCCAGAACCAGATTAAAACGAAGCCAGGAAATGTGTAACAAAACACACAAAGTGTAATGGACTACAGCTCGTGTTAATCTGTGGTTTCTAAGTCACCACATGTCCCACAGGGATCCTCATGTACGGCTGGTGGCCTCAGTCTCCACTTCTGAGCTGACACTACTGGGCACCCGCCATTTTCCATTCTTAGAGGCAAGGAAGGCTGACCGAGAGGACCCTTTCTTCCATACAGACACCATGGAGGTAGCCAACAAGCCAGGCCTGGAGCCCAAGGGGCCACGAGTTCAAATGAAGCCTCTGACCCAGGACTCCCTAAGAACAAGCCAAGGTCGGGCTCTAGATGGCCCGAGCACCTGGGGAGAGGTAAGACAAAGGCCTGTGTGGAAGGTAGTGCCCCAAGGTGCAAAGGTTACCTCGCACACAGCTTTGAAACTTGACCCCAGGTCCCTGAAACGATGTGCTCTCAAACTTGGTTTTGTTCCCAAAAATATTTTTATTTATTAAACAATATATCCATTATCTATAACATGATCCAAAAATACAGATATACATTTTTACTTTACATTATTTTTAATAAAAAGATTTACAATATTCTCTTCCATTTACAAAGGGAACATATTTCCTTTGAAAATAAAATGTAACATTCATGTTAAAGCTGCATCATCATCTTTTTGGATGAAATGTGGTAAAGCTGAAGACACAAAATACACATGTATGTGGAAAAAAGTCTCTGTAACCTTGCGAGAATTAGAACCATCTTAGATTTCCCCAGTTTTTCAATCCTTTTCGCAAAGGTGATCAAACTGCAAACACTGGAACACCAAAAACCTAGGAAACCGTGAAACTTTCCAATGCCCAGAATCAAAATTCTTCATTTTGTTTAAAAGGAAAAAGAAAAACCCCAGTCCCTGCCCACTCTCCATCCCCACCCCTCTGTGGAGCAGAGAAAGAAAGCTGCTCTCGGCGGGCTTTATGGTAGATTAGATTAGACCAACCCTACTCCTGTGCTGACATGATACGCTCTGAGAAGTCACAGAGAAAGAACAAAAAATGAAGTCTGAGCCTGTCCTGTGACTGACTGACTTTAATGGTCCCTTTTTTCTAGGAGAGAGAAGCCTCTTGGGCACTCACTGGGGGACTGTTCTTCCCCCAACTGGTCCGCCTACCCAAAGGCGGAACTGCCCGCCGGCTTGAAGGGAGGTCCAGCTTTGCATTTCTAGATTCAGGAGCTCCTGAGCTGCCTCCAAGGGGTCAGTTACTAAGGGACTTACTCCAGCCAGCAATTCCACTACAGACAAACACAGGTTTATGGGACTCAATGAAACAAACACTTTGTTTTTAATAATGCAGCATGTTTGCTCCCAGAAGACAACAGAAGAATTGTTCTAAAAGTGTTTACTCCAATAATCTAAGCATCGAGGAAGGGAAAATCAACTCCTGAAATGTTGCGACTTTTCTTCTGAATAGACTATAGTTTTACTTGCAAATAAGCACAAAAAAATATGGATAATACATTATACCTGGCTCATATACAGTGTCATAAACTGTGGGATTAAATAGTCTGGGACATTCAAAATGCATTCATTTCAATCAACAAACAGTTATTTAGCACTAAGCATGTGCAGGGGACTGTGCTAGGGGGAGACCAAAGGTTAGCTAAGACCCAGTCTCCGTCCTGAAATCATTCACAATCCAGTCCAAACCTTCAAGAGCAGCCCTGGGCTGGAGTAGACCGAGGAGACCAAGGCTCTTCCCAGCCTACAGGAGACAGGCTAGTTTCAATGGCAGACTTTAGGGACAGGCAGAACTGGCCTGAGAGCCATGCCCCCTAAAATCAGGCTAGGTCTAACCTTAGAGGACTAGGAGGGATGGGGAGAATGCTGCAGTTGCAGGCCCACCCCCAGGATGGGATCATCTCCCCCATCACACTGGTCAGACAGACACATCCGCTCTAGTTCAGAGACTGCTGAGGGGCCTTTTCTCTTCCACTCTCTGTCCATTTGCTCCAAAGTTGTTGGCCTCACGTTTTGGTGGCAATGAAAAACAGAATCCTCAAGGCAGAGAGCCTCCCCAGAACAGGACAATGAGAACTGGCATCTCACCAATCGCTTTCTCGTGAGATCACAAGCCCCCAGATGCTGATTACTAAGTCCCAAAACCCTACACTAATGAGCAAGACACTGTCTACCATGTGGTCAAAGACCAAAGACGTACACTGTTCAACTGGCTACTAAGAAATCAGCAGAAATTCTTTTACTGCAGATTTACTGCACTTACAGGCTTCACCATACAGACTGGGAAGAAAGTCTAGAAAAATATTTTCCCCATAATTTCTACTACTTTTTTCCCTGCTTTTCAACAGCACAGCAACTGACTAGAGCAGATGAAGCATTCAACGAATCCCAGAACAGAGTAAGTGGCTGTCTGCCCTGGGCCAGAAGGGAAGAACAGCCAGGCAGGCCTTTGCCCAGGCCACTCCCCAAGAGCCCAGAGCAGTGGGTTCTAAACATAGATCTGACCCTGCAGGAGAGGGAGGGGGGAGCAGCTGCCTGATCCCTCTTTTCCAAGAATCGAAAGTGCTCAAGGCTCAAACCTACAACTTGGACAAAAATTCAGAGTATAAACACCACGATTCAATGACTTAAACACCACAACTCTCGGCACATCATTCTGTCAGAAACACAAAGGCCTCAAACAGAAGGTAGCCTGGATGTGGAGAATGGGAGAACTCTTAGGAGGATCAGATTCACTCTGTCGATGATTAATAGTATCTTTGTGTTTGAGGTTCTCACCACCCTCCCTCACTAAAAATGAACCTGGTGACAAGGCTGGCAGTGTTCCCGGATTCCCTCATCACTCTGCCCCTTCTAAAGGGAGAATCACAGGTGACAGCAGTAAACACAGGAAGAATACACCTCAACGGCATCTTTCCAAGGGACCCTCCTTCCACAGCTAACAAAGCAGCATCTTCTTCGTTAGAATTCCAGTCCTCAATTAGATCGACCAGATTCACTCTCCAGATTCTAAGAAGAAAGCATTTTCTGCTTCCCTCTTCTTCTAATTCCTTTTTAACGCCTTTGCTTCCATGCTAAGGGTTTCTGGGATGCTCAGAGTATTACCAGAATTCCAACCCTGTCTTTCTACGCATCTCAAAAGTAGCAGAATAAATGTCCAGACACTGAAGTACTCATTTAAAATGTCACTCAAAGGATCATTACAATGAGTTTGTGGTGAATGCCGATCAGTAAGTCTACCCCAGCCGAGCCGACAGCTTCCTTGCCGAGCTGCGGCAGAATTACAGGAATCCACACGTCATCTTCGATTATCTAGTCCCCTTGGATACAGCTCTAACAGTGTGCAACATAAATCAGATATAAAACCAGGTCTTAGCAGACTGGACTTTCACTTCATAAAACACATCAGACCCCACTATCTTCATGCTAAAACATTAAGCTTGTCTTCACAGTAAAAACTTGAGGAACTTCCAGAGAAATGGGTCATCAGCAGGTCCGAGAGCCTCCATGCTAATGAAAACCCACTTTGCTCCAGAACAGGCGAGTACAGCCCTCGTGAGAGGGAAGGAGTGGAGATTCAAACCAACAGGGCAGTGCACAATAAAGCAGAAATTACTTCCTAACGGTAAGAACCCTAAGACCCGTAGCTGGCAGGCACAGGGGAGAGGCCCTTACCACAAGTAAACACAGTCACTGGCTTCAGAATCGGAGCTGAGGAGATGCCCCAGCCCCTATGGACGTGTGCGTCGGTGAAGGGTGTCCTCACTGTCTAGCAGCTGGGGCTGCTCCGCCACCTCTACAGAGGGTCACATCTACACTTCCCAAGTGATGGCGGGCACCAGGTGCCAAAGGGGGCATTCATGTCACGGCCACGGACTCCTTGTGGCTGTCCCATGTTTCCTGATGCCCAATTAGCAAACACCCCATTTGAATAGTAAAAGTGTTACTGCCCAGTTCAGTGCTATCGGGAATCCATGGTAAAAAAGGAAAGAAAACAAAGTCCCTGTGGCAAATTTACCTACAAGAGCCTCTCCCTGTAAAAAGAGAGCTGGCTTTCTGCTTTTTGTTTTGAAATACCAAGAATTACAACTGGCCAACACCAGACCAAAAACGACAAGGTAGTTTAAAAATAAAGGTAAGCTATGACAACAGGAAGGGAGGAAGGTATTAACTGGTCCTTCTGGGTCTTCCTTACTTCTTCTTCCTCTTCTCCTGAACGCAGCGAGGACAGAACCTGCCCAGAGAAATGCATGCTTGGCCGGGGCCCCAGGAGGGCCCACATGGCTGTCCTGCCTACCTGGGAGGAACAAGCACAGCCTTGCCCGGCCTTACTCCCCCAAGGGCCCTGGCCCTCTCCCAGAAGCCCCTGAAGCCACCAGTGACATCAGACGTGGCCAGCAAGCTCCTGAGTGAGGAGCTGAGCAGGCATGAGGAGCCAGCAAGTCTCTGGTGGGCAGTAGGGAGACTCAGGGGGCAGGTAATAAGCTCACTTGAGCCCAGCACCCTGGCTACTAGGCCACACTGCCTCTCCAGCCAGGATCCTGGCCTCCTACTGCTGCAACTAGGACCCAAACCTGCACACTCTAAACCTGGAGGGCTGCCACCAAGCACGGGCACTAGTGGCATGCCACCCCGACCCGCTCACTCACCATTTTCCTTTGGGCTTCGTGGTGAGATCCACACAAGCAAAGTGAAACCACTCAATGGGACACTGTCAGGGGAAGAAGAGAGGGGCCAGCGTCAGCACACTGCCTTGCTTCTATCTACATCAGCCCTGCCCCAGCCCCACACCCGGCCCCTCGCCAGCTACTCACATCCGGGTTGTCACAGCCAATCATCTCTCCATAGGACACCTGGTGGCAGAGGCAGTAGGTGGGCTCGTTGGGGTCCACAGGCATGTCCAGGACGTCCGAGGGGTGCACCGAGAGGATGGTTTCTGCAAACTCTGACCTAGAGGAGACACAGCGAGGCCCAAGGAGCCCAGAGAGAGCGCCCAGCACATTCAGACCACAGAGCCAGCTCCCCTCCTTCCCCCACTGCATCCTGGGCCCCCCCCCCAGCTTATTTGGTCTCTGGATGCCCGACCCAAAGACGCCCTCACCCATAAGTCCTGAGAACTACAAGTTTTAGAGGATTCTCAAGAAGCACTTGAATCACTTGCAATTACCAAATTTCAAAGTAAATTGACTCTTGTGTTTAATAAAAATCCGAGGCAATGACAGAATTACAAAGTAGCCCTTGCAGGGTTATGCGCACCATCCAACATGACAGTAGCCTGAGAGCACAGCTTTTTCATTTTCAGAGTTTGGTTTTTCAAATTAGCACCATCTAACTGGCCCTGCTCTGCAGCAAAAGCACTCCAAAGGTCAGCCGATTCAGAATAAAGTGTTGCCGGGCTCCCAGTGAGCTGACCAAGGACCAACCTAGGGAGAGTGGCACGTCAACATCTATCTCCTCCCTTGCTGGCTGCACAGGAGGCAGGGCAGAATAAAGGAGGGCCCACTTACCTGGGAAAACGCAATGGCAGCGGTTCCTCAGAGTTCTCCCCATCTGCCTGAGGTCTCCCAGGCCCCCCAGAATATCTTCTGCCTGAATCCCCATCTCTGCCTTTTTGCCCCCTAGAAGATCGCACCTGGGTCCACTACTCATCCCCACACTGACCCAGGCTGCTCCCTGACTGCCGAGGGCTGCTCTGCCCTCCAGCCCTGCCTTCTGGAGATGGCCCAATCTCCTAGCCTCCTGGGCAGTGGCAGGGCCAGGAGTGAACGTCATCCCAACAGCAGACTCACAGACCTGCACCCCAGGAGCTCACATGCCTCCCCTCCCCTCATTGCTTGGGGTGGGGGGATGAGAAGGGGGCACTTCTCTTCAACCTGAAAGGGAGAATCAAGCCCAGAAAACAGGTCTGGGCAATCAGGCCGAGGGCCAATCTTCCAAGCTCTTAGACAGAAGGGTTATTCCAACTACTTTACCTTCTGATAACACTACAATAAAATAAAACTACCTCAGGAGATGAACAGCCTTCCAATTTTTTTAATGGCCTATACATGACACCTGACAGCTTACAATCCAAAATTGTAACTGAAAAAAATTCAACCTTTAGGCCGGGCAAGTCACATTCTAAGAGAAAGGACCCGGGGCTAAGGGTGAGGCTGTCTGCTTCTCAAAGGCCCTGACACTGTTTTCAACGCCATGCCAGACACGAGAAATCCAGCCCTGTCCTCTCCTCTTCTGCCTGCCTAGGACACCAAACCAAATCCTTCCTCCTCCCAAAACAAGAGATGATAGGCTCCATCAGCCAGGCTCCAGAAGCCCCCAGCCCCAGAGCCAGCCTAGACCCGTCCCACAGTCATCGCTCAACAGCTGGCCCTGCTAGCGCATCACCAAAGGAACTAGAGAGAGCAGGCAAGCCCAGCCTGCTGCTTTGCGCTCCAGCCATCACTCGGTTCTCCCAATAAGTGAACAAAAAAATAAAAATAAAAATAAAAAAATAAAACAAACAAAAAAAAACCCAGTAAGTGAACCAGATTCTACTCGCTCCTCAAACTTCAACCTACTGCTACTGTTCCAACCAAATTAAATCTCTTTTCTGTAGGATTTTCCCTCAAGTCCTTGGGGAAAGAGGGCACAGAGAATCAAACGGAATTTCCAAGCTGGAAGAAAGCCCAAGGTGCTTTGGTTCAACTCTTACTGGGAAAGCTTCTCCACACAGTCCCACCACCCCAAGCCTTTTCCCCTCTAGGCTACACATTTCTGGTGTTTTCAACTAAAACCACAGAGGCCAAGAGGTAGAGGGAACCTCAAAGGCCTTGGAGAGAACAGAACAAACATTTATCAGGCACCCTCTCTATGCAACCAGGGATCTCATCTGATTCATACACAGAACATCTGATAGCCTCAGCACCATCCCTTGCAAGGGGTCCCTCTGCCCTCTGCTAACAAGCAGGAATGCCCCAGCTCCCAGGGCAGCCCCACTGCTGCCCTCAGAGACAACCCCCACGGCTGACAGTCTTCCCCTCCACCTGGGGCCAAATGCCCGAATGAGCTCAGGCCTACCCACAGGAGCTTAATAGATCAAGTCCAATCCCTCTTCTACCAGACAGCTCTGCAAGCATGTAAAGCCACCATCATGGTGCCCACAAAGTCCATTCTCCAGGGGCCCTTCACCAGACTGGCCACCCTTGGCAACACGCTTCCCAGCTGATGACTGTCTTTCCTCAAGGTCAATGCCATTGACTAACCACCACACTCCCCATATGGTCTGGCCACACAGAAAGGAGGAGGCCCATCCCCTGCATCTCAGTGCAGCCTGTGCCTCCATGAGCTGAGGTCACCATCACCCTGTGAACCCCCAAAATTCTAGATCTTTCCCAAACAAATCTCTCTTTACCAGTCTCCTTGTAGAGCCTTCGTGCATAACCTGATTTAATTTCCTTTTCTGAATTTTGTCCCTTCACTCTGAGCTGCCGCAATCCTACCATCCAACTACCCCCGGCCTTGTGTCATGTGCTCAATAGGCACCAGGGTCTCTTGCGAAAATATTCCAGAGAGCAGTGCCAAGCTCAGAGCCAGCCTCCTTCTGCGCTGACCACTACCTAGCAGACCACCTGGGTCTGACCACTCAACCAGCTCCCAATCTGCCTGCCCAGCGGCACCTGTTGGCCACGATCTTCACCCTATCTGTCCACAAGGAAAGGGGGAGAGCCTCTGCCCAATGCCTCCATGCCCCTCTGGCAACGTGGCTTCGGTGCCCTCGACCTCCCTGCCCAGCCCAGGGCTTCCGCTGAGCCTCAGGCTTGTTCAATTCATCTGTACTGGCCCCCACGGCTAGAACACACTACTGAAGACAGACACCCATGACGAAGGAGCAAGGTGCAAAGCTTACCCGCCTTTCAGTTTTTTCTTCTTCGGAGTGTCTTCCTCTGACGTGCGTCTCCCGCGACCCCGGGAGCCTCTTTTCTCCTTCTGCCCCCGGCCCTCTGAAAGACAACATCAGTACCAATGATTACTGTGGCTTCTGAACACACACAGCCCCAACCCCTCCCCCCCAAGAAGTAGCATCCTCGGGCATACTTTTCAGGCCTCTTCCTCCTGAACTCTCCAGGTCACTGCCTTCCATCTTCTCCTTCAGATCAGCTTCAAAGCGTGCGAGATCCGCATCAAGGCGGCGAATGTGTTTGTCCACCTGCACAACAGAACACACACAAAGGGCACTCTAGAACGCGAGACCAGGAAGGTCCCCCACACCACCAAGGTCCAGCAAGAGACATGTCAGGGAGCCATAGACCAGGTTCACATGGGCCCACAATTCCTCCAACCAACTCAGGACACCCTCTGTAACCTGTGGACTTGCTCCCAGCCACCATGTTTGCAGCCCTCTGTCAGCTAGGCCTTTAGAGTCTCGATGGCTGTCCTTGAGTAAGATGCCTACTGCCCAGTTCACGTATGACTCCCCTTTCTGTTACTGGGACCTCTCTTAAAAAGCTATAGCCATCAGGGTAAATAAGCAGTAGGACCCCTGGAAGCAGATGCAAGAGGTGGGCAAGGCTGGTGAAAGACTAAAGATGAAGTCAAAAATGAAGTCACTGTGCGTGCTTAAAAAAAACAAGAACCTAAAAAATGGCAAAATGAGAAGTGCCCGGTGCCTCCACGGAGGGCAAACTAGAGACTGAAGGCCCAACAGGACCAGAGTAAATGTGATTCACAGTGAACACAGCGTGGGTAGGAGTAAATTAGCCCGAGAGATGAAGCCAATGAAACAAAAAGGGCTGGTCCTCGTGGGGGGTCACCACCGAAAGGTCACACCTACCCTGTGGCTCCCCCACACCGATCAGCTCCCCAGGAGAAACACGAGACCTTCTGGGTCCACCAAGGGCATGGCTCCCAGAGATGCCTCATTGTTGTAAACTGGTGCCGAGGGCTCACTACTCCACAGCGTAGGCAAGAGAGTGAGTACAGTTACAACAAACTAAATGTTAACGGAGGGCAGCTGGCTGGCACAGTGAAGGGCACCAGCCCTAGAATCAGGCCCCTGGGCAAGTCCCTTAACCCCGACTGCCTTGACAAAATAATAATAATAATAATAAATGTAACAATTGTTTAGAAAAAATTGTTTTAAAAAAAGAGAAAAATTGTTCATATGTAATCTACTCAAACAAGACTTGGAATTTGCTGAAAAATTCTAAGGGAAAAGTCTACCTGAGTGAAAGAGCACATTTAATTCAGATTAAGTTGGGGATTTCTTAATGTTTGGACCTTGTCATGTGAAAGCCAAGTGTAAGAAAAAGTCTGTGTGCTTAGGAAGCTGAACAAATTAGAGGCTAAAGAACGAAAGGCAACCAAAGTAGACCCCGGAGGTAGGAACGGACACTCCCAGATGAGGACTTTGTCCTCCCGGCACCTCTGGCGCCCATGATGCGGCCTCACCATCTCGTAGGTCTGCATGGCGAGCTGCACCTTGTCGTCACTGTACTCCTTACATTTACTGTATGCATTCTGGATCTTCTGCAGGTGCTCCACACGCTGCTCAGGGGACAGGTTCTTCACAGTGGAGATGTACTCAGCTGCCAGGATGTCGATCTCGGCTTTCTTATCTAACAAAGAAATGGCGAGCGACGGATGGGTCGGCACGGACACCGCCCCAGGCCAGCAACTCGGTCCTGGCCGCCCCCTCGCTACCCTCTCCTACTCAGAAGCAATGCTCTTGTCAGCTGCTCCTTTATTTCACAGAGATGATAAAAATTCACTAAACATTTCCAGCACTTGGTCCCTTTCTCACATCTTCACCTCTCAGCTCAAATGTCCATCCCACTCTTTTTCATCACACTCTCACTGTTCCTGATTCTGGTTTCACAGTGAAGGGTTGAGCAGAAATACCCACAAATTTAATTCTAAAATATCCCAGAAATGTTTGCATTTTAGGAAGCCCCCACACCCCCAATACACACACGCACATATGTGCGCGCGTGCACACACACACACACACACATATATATACACACATTTTCCTTAAAGCCATGTGAATTCTTCCTACCATCCAGGCCTCATGACCATCACAGACAAGTGTCATCGTCACCCCCAACAGAACATACACCCCTTCAGGTCAGGCCCAATGCTCACTTGTTTCCGTGTCCCCGTGGCCCGTGGCCTCCCTACCACAGAGTCTGGCTGGCCCATGGGAGGTGGCTGATTTCAAGTCATCATCTCCCCCCACTGTCACTCTGGGCTGCACACAAGGGCTTTCGGCGTCAGATGTGCATGGCAACTCTCTCGGCCACTCGGGACTAATCACTATATTGCCACTTCCTTGCTACATAGGGTCACCTAAACTCTGACAATATCAAATGACTAAGATTTGGGCCTAGGGTGAAAAGAGGTTGAATTAAGGCAAAAAGCAAACATTTCCCAAATCTTAACTTGCAAAAGTTAAAATCAACTTTAAAAGCTAGGGAAATTTTTTTAAAAATTAAGCTTCCTTAACACACCTCCCTTATGATGGACAAATCCTCCAACAATTCAAGCTGTGAGAGGTGCTTCTGTGAGCTGGGGTGACAGAAATGAGGGGAGGAAGACCCCAAGGAGCTGAACCCTCACTACCAGCCTCTGTCACTAAACTTCATGGGGACACAGGAGATTTCATCTTCCCTGCCCTTCTCAAGCTCACACGCCATCAGGGCATCCTTCAAACTCTCCCTCTCCCCTGAGAAGGGCTCAGTACCATGCAGCTGAGGGTCCCTCGGTATCCTGGCTGCTTACTGGAGTACCTGAACACACCTTCTGTTCTCTGATCCAGTTCACGCATCAGCTGGAAATTCCTTTGGAGTTCACATGGAAGATTTTCAATACCTGAAACACAAAGGTATTAAGGGCATACATGTTTCTCAAAAGCACAGCACAAAATCTGCAATCTAAGAAAACAAATGGGTCTGTCTTTTATGGGGGTGGGGGGAGGGAGGGGCCACATGCACAAAGGGACAGGTGATGGAGACTGGAATGTTTTCTTGCTTCTAAGGCATGGGTATCAATGTTGTGGTATTATAAGTATTATGTTTTCAATGGACTGAACTCTCTCCTTTCGTAGATAACAGGATTTTTGCTTTGCAAACATGGATGCAGCCCAAGGAAAGATAGAGAGAAAGGTACATAGCCAGAATGTAAAAAGAGGAAAAAGGGACAGAGAACAGGAAAAAGAGATCAATGAGACCAGGACGAGGAAGAGTCTGACGAGAGAGTTAGAGGCCAACAGGTCTGAACTGAAACAGATTAAAAGAACTGAGGAGAGGCTCATCATGCCAAAAAGAAACAATGATATCTGAAATGCTTTTGGAAGGCAGTGAAGGCAATACTGAAACACTGCTCCTGGTCAATCCCATTCACCATCATGAATGCTCTGAGACGACAGGGAACATTCTCCCCAAGCACTCCAATGAACAACCATGTAGACGCTCGGGCTCCTTATCCAAGACCTCAGAGGCACCCCAGATGTCAGCGGTTTGTGGAAATGTGGAGAAGCAGAGGAGATGGCCATGAAGGGGATGAAACGGGGAGCCAAAGGAGCCCAGAGAAAGCTCAGGCCGCCCCTCTGGTGCCATCCCTCCCCTTCCCCATCAGCGCAGCCCAGCTCCTTTCTGCCAGTGCTAATCTGCACTCACTGCTGCTGCGGTGCCTCCAACACCTGGGGTCTCCCAGGAGATGTCATCAGACCATAAGCTCTCTGTGTGTTTTCAGTCCAGAGGCTCATCACTGGGCTGGCCACAGGGGGATGAGGAGTGCTCTGACCCCAGGAATTCCTGAAGATTAAGTCACAGGGAGGAGGGGCTCTGCAGCGGCGAAGGAAACACCCACAACACGGACAAAGCCATGGGTGCCCTAAGCGTGACAGAGTGGCCGAGAGCTCCCCACACATACACTCTCTTTTCAAATAGCGCATCGGGTCCCCAAACTGGCTGCAAGCAAACTGTTTCTTTCATATTCATACTTCTTCCCATTTTCCAGACCCTCCTGAAGTAAACTAACTAAACTGGAATCAGATCTTCTCTATGTGCCCAGAAATCACAGCCACTTCACAGCTGGAAAAGGCCTTAGGGTCCCTCAGCCTACAGAGGACTGGGACTATTCATCCTGTAGAGGAGAGGGGAAGTGACAGAACGAAGAGAAGCTTCTGAAGGCAGGCCCTGTTCCTTCTTTGGCCTTCTCTCCCTGGCACCTTAGAGCCGGGGCCTCCTGAAGGGCTTTTCTCAAAACAGCCCCCTGGGCCGACCCAACCCCAGAGTCAAGTGCGCAGGTCATGCTTCTGACAAGGAGGGGGAGAGAGGCCCGGATCCTGTGCAGATTACCCTGCTCAGAGCTGAAGGTGTGGGGTACAAAGACAAACAGTCCCCCGGTCGTCCCCTTCTGACCCTCTATGATGCAGCAAGCACCCTACCAAGGGTTATTCACCTCATGTGAAATGGAAGAGTGCCAGGCACTGTGCTGAGGCTTTACAAATATGGTTTCTTCAGACACTTGGTACTTACTAGCTGTGTGACCCTGGGCAAGTCACTTAACCCCAACTGCCTCACCCCCCCCAAAAAAATATATACATATATATATACACACACACACACACACACACATATATATGTATGTATATATGTACACATACATATATATATATATGATTTCTTCTCAGTTAAAAATGACTTGAAATGTGCTGACTGAGAGGATGGTATATTGTTAACAGTTAGAAGCAACTCGGTATTGGGGGAAAAGGTCTAGAGGTTTAGAGGTAGTGGGGATGTTAGAGGTCATCTGGTCTGACCCCCTCGTTTTATAGATGAGGAAACTGAGGCTGTTCCACAAGGAGTAACTGACCAAGGCCGTCCAATTCTAAACCCTGGGCTCTCCCCACCGGCCCCACTCCTGTCAGCTGTTCAGAAAAAGCTGCCAGCATTGATGTCCCACGGTCAGATGTAAAGAGTGCCTCTGACACAAGGCTGGGGAGAGCAGCAGATATCACAGGGCCAGTCAACAGGCGCTGCCTGAGCACCCAGAACACAAGCCAAAGAAAGAGGGGCTGCCCTCAGAGAAGCTGCATTCTAATAGGGATCAAAGGGAGGAGGGGGAGGGGCTCCTGGGGACAGACACGTCCCAGAGGGCTCTGGGGGCAGCAGGCACCCCTCCGGGATTCCAGGTGTGGACCCTGGGCAGGTTCCTCTGATCTTGGGCTCCTCCAGTGTGACGGATCCCTAGGGAGCCAGGAAGCTCTACACCTGGGTTCTACGCAGGGGTGTGGGGAGGGATGAGGAATGCTGTTCCAGAATTCAGCTCAAGGGATGGCGGAAGGCGCCAGGGCCCAGGCTGGGGCCCCTTGGGGCCTCCTGACACTCAACTTTGCCCCCTCCAGAATGGGGAGCCCAGGTGTTCTCGGTATCTTGGGAGCCTAGGAATCCAAGCTCTGAATCTGTTTTTTCTTTTCTTTTCTTTGGCAATTGGGGTTAAGTAACTCACCCAGGGTCACACAGCTAGTAAGTATCAAGTGTTTGGTCTGAGGTCACATTTGAACTCAGGTCCTCCTGACTTCAGGGCTGGTGCTCTATCCACTGTGCCACCTAGCTGCCCCCCAAGCTCTGAATCTGAAGCCTGAGATGATCCCCAAGCTCCTCCCCACCCCCGCATTCTAGATCTCAGAAACCTAGAACATCCTCTCGGCTCTAGATCACAGACCTACCCTCTCCCAGCTCCCTGTGGGGCCTGCATGCTCTCCCACCTCCAGATCCATGACGCCCAGCGTGCTCCCCCTCCAGCTCTAGATCCATGGACCTAGCACATTCCCCCAGCTCCAGATCCATCAGACCGACTGGCTCCCCCTCCAGCTCTAGATCCATGGACTTAGCACACTCCCTGGCCCCCAGCTCCAAATCCATGGATTTAGCCTCCCAGGGCTCTCCCAGGGGTTCTAGACGCGCGTGCTCTCCCCGCTCGCCAGGGGGCGCCAGGAGCCGCCAGAGGGCGGGGAGAGTCAGGGAGACAGCGAGGGGGGCGTGTCCCGCGGACAGTGACGCAGCCCAAGTCGCCTAGGTCGCCATAGTGGCCGCGGGCTCCGCCCCTGCCTCACGTCACCTCGCTCCGCCCTCTAGCCCTCCCTCGCCCTCCCTCCCCTCGCGGGACGGTGACGCACCTCTTAATTCCCGCCGAGCCCGCCCTCCCGCCTCCCGTGCGCGCCCCCGACCCCGCCCCTCCCCTCGCGCGCGCCCCCGACCCCGCCCCTCCCCCCGACCCCCTCCCGCTCCGGGGCCACCCTTTCCCGCGAGCCCCCGCCCTCCTGAGCCCGGGCCGCTGCCCCCGCCGCGAGGCCCCGCGAGGCCCCAGCGGCGTGAGGCAGGGCGCCCCACCGGTCGGCCCCAGCCCCGGCTCCGTCCCCGGCCCAGGCGGGGAGCGGACTCACTGTCCAGGTAGTGCTCCAAGTACATGGCGGTCGCCATCTTCGTCCTGCGGCCCCGGCGGCGCGTGTGTGGGCGAGGGTGGGCGCGAGCGAGGGCGCGGGCGCGAGAGCGAGGGGGCGGGGTGGCCTCGCTGTCGGGCCGCCGCAGCCTCATTCCCTATTCATGAGGGACGCCCGCTGATTGGCCGGCGTGCTCGGTGCAGGGCAGGCCCCCGCCCCTCGGTAGGCGGTACCTCGCGGCGCGCGGGCATGGCCCGGGAGGGGCGCGCGGGCTCCGAGCAGGAGCGGAGCGAGCGGGCGGACCTTGCCCGCCGGGGCGGGGGCTGGGGCTGCGGCTGCAGCCGGAGTCGCCCACGCCCCAGCCTGGTGGGCCTCCCGGCCGGGCCGGCCCCACCAAGGTCACCGGCCCCGGGCGTGGGCTGCACGTGCCCTGGATAGACTTCACCTGGAGCTGGGAGGGAGAGCGGGAGGGGTCTGCAGAGGCAGCCCTCTCTGGGTGCAAAAGGAAGCTGAGGCACGGGCTGGGGTCAGAGACCACCCTGAGTTGGAGGGGTCCATAGAGGCAGCCCCCTCTGGGTACAGAAGGGAAACGGAGGCACGGGCTGAGCTTGAAAACCCTGAGCTAGAGGGCTCCGCAGAGGCAGCCTCTTCTGGGTGCAAAAGAGAAACTGAGTCACAGGCTGTCCTTGGGGACCCTGAACTGGAGGGGTCCATGGAGGTAGCCCCCTCTGGGGAGCAAAGGGAAACTGAGTCACAGGCTGGGCCCAGAGACCACCCTGAACTAGAGGGGTCCGCAGAGGCAGCCCCCTCTGGGTACACAAGGGGAAATTGAGGCACAGGCAGGGCTCGGAGACCTCAGAGGATGTCTTCCCACCCCCTCATTTTACTGAAGCACAGAGACAATAGCTTTCCCACCGTTTACACGGGTCCTCCTGAGGAGCTCAGAGGTGACATTTTCTCTTTAACCACCTCTGCCCTGACCTATCTGGTAGGTGAGGGCCTAGTGCTTTGCATGGCATGGGAGCTTCATAATTTGTGGAACCAAATTGAATTTGAGGAAACTGAGGCAGAGAGAGTTGAAGCAACAGGGCCAAAGCCTTTAGCAGGAAGCATCGACTACCCTTTAAGCCATGGACTCGTGACGGTCCTGACCCTGTAAATGCTCCAGTCAGCCTCACACTCACCCCACCAGAAGGAGAGAAATAAGGCTGCCCAAAGTCTCCTGGAAATGGCCTCTTTCCACCATCTTCAGAAACAGAAAGGAGACAAGGTCCTGCCTGAGTCTGGCCCTTTGACATTTGCGGCATTCTCAAACCATGCATTACCGCCTGGGAGCCAAACCACCAGCCTGCCCTGGGTTCTGGACTCCCCCTTTTTTCTCCCTGCCTCCTGAAAGCCAGGGCCAAAGAGCAGGAGCCTCATCCCCCTTCCTAACTCCCACCTCCAGGTTGGGTAAGGTCTCACTTCGAAGATTGTCTTCCTTCTTCTGTAGGTGAGAAGATGCTCTGGACATCCTCACCTCTGCCTCTTAGACTCTGTCTTCTAAGATGCTCAAGCGTCATCTTCTGCAAGAAGCCTTTGCTCACCCCCTCAACTACCCTGTGTGACTGCATATATTTGTGCTTATTTGCTGTTTGTCTATGTGTCTCTCTCTCTCTCTCACACACACACACACACACACACCCCTTTTCCCTCATTGGAATGAAAGCTTCTTGAGATCAGAGATTGTTTCATTCTTTATATGTGGATACCCAGCACCTAGCCCAGAGCCTGGCACACAGTAGAAGCCTAATCAGTGCTTATTAATTGAGTGATTCCCCAGGTCCAAAGCCATAGCTCACTAATCTACTGGTCTTTGGGTCATTCTCCCTCCTCTCTCAAGGACGTCAGTGCCTGGATCCTCAGTCTTCCTCCTCACCCATCTCAACCCCTGCCCTCATATTGAGGAACTTCCAGTATGCGTGTCAGTATTACCTCCAACACCCTGGCCTCACTGATCCCTTCAGATGCCATGAAGAGAGGCAGTGTGGTACAGTGGATAGAGCCCTGGAGATGAGGGCTCTAGGTTCCAGTCCTGCCTCAGACACTTACTAGCTGGTAACCTTAGGCAAGTCACTTAACCTCTTTATCGGTAAAAATGGGGGTAATGATAGCACCTGCTTCACAGGGTAATTGTGAAGATCAGATGAAATAATGTATATAAAATGTTCTGCAAACCTTAGAGCATTATATAAATGGGTGTTACCCCCTTCACTCTATCTCCCTGATAGATGCTCATTTCCTTTATCACCCCTAATCACTACTTCCATGCATGAATGAATGAGCCCTTTATGAAGTGATTATGAGGGGCAAAGCCCTGGGAATAGAGAGAGAAAAGCCTCGCTATCTGTGATCTCACTCTAGGGGGAGCAAAGACACTTGTAGGGGCTTTCAGCACCGAGTCAGATGGAAAGGTCCCATGGTCCTTAGGGGGCAGCACCAAAACAGATTCTGTTCTTGCCTCTTCCCTGATAAAGCCTTATCAGTTTCTTTTATCACACCCTTTGGCCTGTAAGCAAAATTGGTGGATTAAGGTAGTCCTGCCATTCTGCTCTCGGGCTTATCTGTCCATTGGCAGCCTTGGTTGGGATGGTGGTGCCAAGATCAGGATTCAGAAGTCTCAATTCCTGTCGGCAGCTACAATCTCTTCCTTCCAACACTTTGCTCTTTCTCTGTAGTCCTAGTCTCTTACTCCTGCCTTGGCCTCCCTTTACAGCTGGGGCCCAGCAGTTGATCTATCCAACCTTAACGGTCCAGGTTCCCTTGATTACAACCACCACACTTCCTCGGGCACTGCCGAACACAGCTGGGGAAGGTCAGGCAGCTGTGGCTGCTGGGTTCCCCAAAATGTCATTATCTAATGTCAGGTAGGCCTTTGCTGCCACACTGGGATCCTTAATTCTTCCTGGATTATCCATCATTCTCTCCGCAGTAGCTACTTGAACCTTCTGTCCTCAGCCCTCCTCTGCCAATGTTTCCAAGCCCTTCTCCGAAGTCCCCGGCTCCTGCTTTACGGAGAAAACAAGCCAGGCATTGTAAAGACCCTCCCCTCCCATACTCCACACCTCAGAGCTGCTCCTCGACACCCTCCATCCTCTCTGCTCTAGTCTCTGATCAGAGTTGGCCCTTCTGGCCAAGGCCAAGGCTGTGTACTTAGACCCTTGATTCTTTTTTCTGGCATCAGATCAGAACGTTTGACCCCCACCTTTACCCAAGGCCTTTGGTATGAGTCTATGATACCCTTTTATCCAGGCCTTCCAGAAATTGAGGGGCCATAAAACAGCTCCCTTCCCTGCCCTTGTGGTCATCCTCACCAGCTGAGAAGTGAAGAAAAACAGCAGGAGAGGCGTAGTGGTATCTGTGAAAGCATTCAGAGAGGGACATTGGCAAAATCAGTATAAATGCAAGCATTTCTAACATCATTCAGCAGTTTCCCTTAGGTTTGCTTGTACGCCAGGGTGGCAACTCTTGGGAGATCATTGGAAGGGTCTTTCCTCAGCAGAGAAGGGGAGGGAGAGAGAGACAGAGTGAGAGAGTGGAAGGTCCCGAGTTCCCAGCCCTTTCCACACATTTCAGTGTGGAGAATGGGGGCTGATACCACAGATGTCAACTCATAAGGGAAAGGCTCTATCTTCTCGTGTACCCAAACCTGAGGCACAGTGAGTTCATTATGGACTGGACTTTATTACATATACATAGCTGTACGGTTGTGTCTGACTATGTGACCCCATGGACGGTGTCCATGAGATTTTCTTGGCAAAGATTTCCTTCTCCAGTATGCCCATTTTACAGATGAGCTAGTAAGTGTCTGAGGCTGGATTTGAACTCAGATTTTCCGGACTCCAAGGCCAGTGCTCTATTCACTGCACCGCCTTGCTGCCCCAGAACAAGTGTGATAGAAAGAGCAGACTTCAGGGACTGTGAGGCCCTCAGTTGCCTCTCCCTCTGATTGGAGGGTGGTGGGTAGAACAGTGAATCTTCCCTGCTTCTGTGGAGGGCTCAGCACTCTGGAGGTAGCTCCGTTTTCCGTCTGGGCTCGGTTTGGTTTTCTCTTCACAGAACATCCCCACACAGGTTACTCTCTGGCTCCCCTTTGCCCCACCTTTTCAGCTTCTTTTTATGTGATGTTTCCTCCATTCGATTGTAAGCTCCTTGAGGGCAAGGACTATCTTTTTCCTATTTGTATCCCTAGCACTTAGCACACTAGCACATAGTAGGCGCTTGATGTTTATCAAATTGAATCATAAATGTTATGAAGACTACAGGAGGAACATTGTTCCTGAGTACTTCCTTTCATGCGGCCACTATCAGATAGCCAGTCAAGAAACACTCAAGGGGGCAGCTAGGTGGCACTGGCCCTGAGGTCAGGAGGACTTGTGTTCAAATCCAGCCTCAGATACTTATTAGCTATGTGACCCTAGGCAAGTCACTTACCCCCAATTGCCTATATTAAAAAAAAAATACTAAATCGTACTAAGCAATATGAAGAAAGGTAGCCATCCCTTCATCTCCCTCACCCAGGGGCCTTACTCTCCAGCCAGTAGCTCAC